TTTGTGTATTTGAACCCTTTCCAACAATGACTGTATGATTTTGAGATCCATCTTTTCACACTGAGGACAGCTGAGGGACTCATATTATGCAACTATTACAGAAGGTTCAAACATTCACTGATGCTCCAGAAGGAAAAGCCATGCATTAAGAGCCGGGGGTGAAAACTTTTTGAATTTGAAGATCAGGGTAAATTTGGGTAAAATATGTGATTATCATATATATTAAATTTCTCTATATATATTATCACATACATTATATGAATATATGAATAATAGACAGACAGACAGATAGATCATATTTATTTGTAAAAAAAAAAAAGTAAAAACTGAATGAATAAAAGAAACCAAATTATTTTAATGTGTGCATTCAAATAACACCAAAAAAGTTACATTTAAGAAAATAAATAAATAAAAAGTAACATTCACTGCAACTAATGTTACAGAGTTCGCTACTTTTTCAAAAAGTAAAAAGTAACTCGCCTCTTTATTTTTGTCAACCAGGAAGTCAAAGGTGCAGAGTTTGAAGACCAGCAGACTCCTGAGGAGCTCCAGCGTGTCTTTGCTCTTGTAGGCTTCTTGTGTGTTGTCGAAGTCGATGGAGATCCTCTGGCGCTCCGTGTGCGCTTTGCGGCTGATGAGATCCACCTCGCAGGGCTTCTCCACTACAGCGCAGGACGGATCCAGCGGCGCGTCGTCGCTCTTCAGCTCTTTGTGCTGCGTGGATGCTGCTGCTGTGGAGCGAAGCCTCGCGCCAAACAAATGAGCCGGCTTTACTCTGGCCACAGCGGGTATTACTTTACAGTAAGACATGTTTAGGAAGTTAGGTAGATGTGATAAAGGAAATATACCAGTGCTTCTCGTAGCGATGGAGGTTTCTAGATGAATGAGATGGCAACACCCCAGACTGGAGGGTCATTCAAGCGCGCTTAAAATATGCTAATGCTTGGCAGCACTCTGAGTTGTGATTGGCTCACGATCTGTGACGCACCGCACTGGCTCATTGCGTCACTGCATATACTAAAGTTACTTGTACTAAACACCTGGTATATAAAGATTTCTCTTTACTTTGGGAAAATGTTTTGTTTGGATTTGTTAATTAAAAAAAAGTACATTTACAGAAAAACGAATTGTACTTAATCTCCTTATCTTGTTAACACAATTTTATATACATAAATGTAAATTCTCATGTCAGAAGCCACTGTTTTATGTTTTGCTTGCTGAAATATTGCATTACTTTGGGACTATTTCTAACCCATGTAACAAGAAGGCTTTAAAAACAGCTGAAACTTGTAAGCTGTTTAATCTTTTCCTTTGAATGTAATGTGTTTTAATTTTAGACCCCTGTCTAGTAATTTATTTGTTTTGACATTATAATTTTTTTATTTAATTTTCTTTTTATTAATATTTTGTAGTTTTGTATTGTAACTGCTTTTTTATTGGTTGATATAACGTTCGTAAAAAAATAAAAAATAAACTAAACACCTGATATTTGTTTTGCATTGCAAATTTTTCATCCACAAGAACACTTTGCCTAAAATTGATCTCTGAAATTTCCCACACTGTAAAATCTCATTGCTATGAACACATTTTTATGAACTAATCTTTTTTTTCTGAGTGTTTCTTTGTTTACCACTTTGTAGCCTAATTTTGTCTTTTTTCCCTTCAAATGTTCCCCTCAAACTTTCAAATGTAGTGCTGTTTCTTTTTTGCAATAAATAAGTAAATAAAAACTAAACACCTGATAGATTTTCTCAATAATAATATAAAACAAAGGGAAGCTTAATGTAAAATAATGCATAGCTATATGTAAATAAAGCAAATTTGGTCCATTAATTAAAATTTATTTGGTATACAAATGTGTTATTATTGTTAACTAAAACTGTTAAAAACACTTAAATAAAGTTGAATTAAAATAAAATAAAAATTAGATATAAGAAATAAGTTTGGAGCATTAAAATTATTAACTGGAAAAAATAAAAAATAAAACTAGCCTAAATAGTCAAGTCAAGTCAAGTCACCTTTATTTATATAGCGCTTTTAACAATACAGATTGTGTCAAAGCAACTGTACAGCATTAAATACGAGAATAGTGTGTCAATAATGCAATATGACAATAGTAAACACTCAATTTTCAGTTAAAGGCTGTTCATCATTGAATTCAGTGATGTCATCATCCAGCTCAGTTCAGTTTAAATAGTATCTGCAATCAAGTCGACAATATCGCTGGAAATTAAGTGTCCCCAACTAGGCAAGCCAGCTGGATACAGACTGGATCTGGTGGCTACGGTGACCTCGGAATTAGAAAGAAACAGACTAATGTAAGCGTAGATGCCATTCTTCTAACGATGTAGCAAGTACATTGGGTGTCATGGGAAGTGTTCCCGGTTCCGGTTGTCCCAATTAATGCATTAACGGATTAATGAATTAAAACGGATTTGAATATTAGAAATGTGTTAGTGTGTTATGTGTAAGCCAGGTTAAATAGGAAAAGGATCTGCCGCCCGCAGTTGATTTTGATATTCTAGGTATTATCAAATTGCCAGAGTTTTGAGAACGCAGCAGACGTGGAGGACTATAATGCAATAAGAGCTTGTTCAAATACTGAGCTGCTAAACCACTCAGGGCTTTATAAGTAATAAGCAAGATTTCCGAAAGATTGCTATCAAATAGCACACCTAGGTTCCTAACTGATGACGAAGAATTGACAGAGCAGCCATTAAGTCTTAGAGAGTGTTCTAGGTTATTACATGCGGACGTTTTCGGTCCGATAATTAACACCTCTGTTTTTTCAGAATTTAGCAGTAAGTCCTGATGATATCTCCCAAGGGTAACATGTAAAGCGTGAAAAGTAATGGCCCTAGTACTGAGCCTTGAGGTACTCCATACTGCACTTGTGATCGATGGGGGCAGTCGTGGCCTAATGGATAGAGAGTCGGACTCGTAACACGAAAGGTTGCAGGTTTGACTCTCAGGTCTGGCAGGAATTGTCGGTGGGGGGAGTGAATAACCAGCACTCTCTCAACCTTTAATACCATGACTGAGGGGAAACCCTTGAACAAGGCACTGAACCCCCAACTGCTCCCCGGGTGCCTCAGCATTGGCTGCCCACTGCTCCAGGTGTGTGTTCACTACTGTTTGTGTACACTTGGATGGGTTAAATGCAGAGAACAAATTCCGAGTATGGGTATTTGATACTTTTGATATGATACCTCTTCATTCACTGCTACGAATTGATGGCGGTCAGATAAGTACGATTTGAACCACACTAATGCACTTCCACTAATGCCAACAAAGTTTTCTAGTCTATTCAAAAGAATGGTCAACAGTGTCGAAAGCAG